TACGACCTGCGTAAGTACATCGACATTTTGTGGGAAATTTTAGTTTCTCAGGCAAGTCAGGACGTGAATTCGATGACGTGTAAAGTACTTGGCGAGACCAAGTACATACGTGATCGCGTAACCACGGATGCAAGCCATAACTTCTCCTCGATCGACCCATCGGTCACACGTAGCAACGTGCCGATGTGGTATCAAGACAGTAACCAACGGACGGAGCGTGATTCATTTGCGTACAAAGTACTGAGTATATACGAAAAACGAGTCGTAACGATCGCCGATCAGAATGCCTGGGATCGCAAGTGCGACTGGTCTCCTGTCCGCGCGAATTCAGCCGATTCGCAGACCGAAGCCTAAGGTGAAGATAAGAAAAGAAAAGAATATTAGCAAAATCGGGACGGGCGCCGCACGTGCGCCTCGTTCCCTTTATGTCAGCCCTTCTCTTTATTTATTCAAATATCACGTATATATACGTAGAGCGTGGAATTATCGGGTTGTACTCGAGCAGCTCCGTTCGCCCTTCGACCGTTTGCCGGCCTCTTTAATCCTTATCCTTACGGTTGCTCGGTGTTGTGCAACCATCCGGCGGATTGCGAGGCAAAGGAGGTGGTTCGACGTGCTAAGGACACATGGGTAAAAAATTCATACCTTATGTAAGAGAAAAGATAAGTGTGATATTGTAAAAAAAATATGTCTACATGAACAAGAGTAACATTTATATTATAAAGAGCAATATGAAACGCGTAATATGTATGATTATAATGTAAAATAATAATTGATCCTACATTACTCGCGTGGGGTATTTCTGACACCCCAACATTATTCTCAATTTTTATTATTCTCTTTGATGATTTATAATTAAATAGAGATTGATAATATTTTGTACATCCTTTAGGTAAAGATAATATATATTGTAAAATTTTTTTTAATTATAAAATAATTATAAAACAATTTTAAATGTACGTGTATAATAAATTATATAAATAGTATTCATACATTTAAATTTATAAGATCGAAGTATCCTGAATACTCCACGCGAGTGATTAATAGAGCTATCATAGGTAACTGTTTTAGGAAAGCTAGGGAAGAAAGTACTTAATCTCAATTGTTGTCATCTTTCCTATAAATTACAGCGAGTTTCGTTTATTATGTCATTTAACGAAACTCGCGCATTTTTCATGATACATTTTTCATTAGGCGACCGAAGGGAAAGCACTTTTGCTACCGGAGGAGATGGAAATGATACGGGCGAGCCTATTAGCGGTGGGTGCAGGCGGAGGTGGTGGCGAGACTGCAGCTGGAAATGTCGGAAGTGGCGATGGTTACAATACTGAGATGACCGCTTCGGCGGTGCCCGAGGAGCTCTTCCGGAAATACACGGAAACCGATTCGCGACCTTTGACCCCGGCGCCCACGCTCGCCAGCGGACCAACGGCGTTAACTGGTCGCGCAGCCCAGGAAGATTTGCCGGCGACCTGCAATCCGCGCGAGCGCACCACCCTGGTTCTGGATCTCCGAACGAGCTCGCAGAACCAGCAGGTGGTCGGTGTCAGATACAGAGTCTCACGACGATTTGTCGCTGCTGATGATATCTTTCTTTCGGCCTTTGTTGTAGACAGATTGACTCATTGCGCTCAAAGATAAGTTTCCTTATCAAAGGAGAAACGATAAAGCGATCTAAGAATAATTGCAAAGATAATTGCTGTAGTTAGGATAAAATTCTCTTACAAAAAGCACTAATAAAATATACACAAAAGAGAAGGTAATTAAAATTATTGTAATATGAAAATAATAAAATATAAATAAAATGAATACACGAAAGAACGGTCTTTGTTGAAGGATTTAAAAATTTAGCTAGATACAAATCTGAAAATAATTTAAACAAACCATTAAAATAATTATATGTAGAACATTTTAATTGGTTGTTAAAATGTCAAAACTTTTTGCACCATTATCATTGTAAATAATTATTTTGATGATTCAATAAAATTATTTTCAGATTTATATCTGTAAATTTTTAGCTAGTTCAACAAAACCATTTCTTCTACATAGAGATATTAAATATAAAAGAAAATAAACTGATTTATGTAGTAACATGTTGCAGGTAATTAAAATTAATTTAGTTTTAATTTAATTATTAAAATATAATAATTAATAATTTGTGAGAGCAAATAATCCGTGAAGAGATATTGTGATACTGAAAGAATACTTTAAACTTTAAACAATCCCGAACACTTTCAACATTGGAACTTTTTAAGCTGGAAGTGATTCTTGTTTCTCTCTATTTGAGACGTCCGTTCGCGAAGGTGTTATCGACAGTTTATTCGGATTTTAGGAAAACGAGACGTTCAGCTGGCACGCTCTTACACTCGAACTACCGCCAACACCTCGGAAAAGTGAAATATTTATCTGCAAGCCGACCTCACGATCGCAACATTCGTTAGCGATACCTGTGCCACCTCCTTCGTCACTTTCCTCGCCTATCGCTGAAAAATGCGAAACGGTAAGTCAATTTCGTTTCTAGAGATAGTTATACGTGTACCTTCTTCTCTTTTGAGACTGCTCGACATTTGAAAAATAATATTATCATCGCTTATACATCGAAAGAGTTCATCCCGAAACGTGGAGGAAGAAGTTGACAGCGACAACGAGCAGCAACCAACAATTACACGAAGACGGGGAAAGCGATTACGTAAAAGAAAGTGTAGGAGGGGCTCGACTTACGGCCAGCAAACGGAAGTTCGCGATCCGCTCGAGCCTACGGTAACACAGGTTTCGCAGATCGGAAACGGATCACGGCGATCGTCGTCAGTATCCATAAAAATTAGGCATCTGCATGAAATTACACTATGTTTATATATATATATATAATGAGAATATATACAAAGCCAATTGAGATTAAAAAAAATTAATTTGTCTTCTCTAAAAATTAATATTTTTTAAAAATAATTATGTTTTCTTTTCAATGAATTGTAACAGGCTTCACGTAAACGTCGGCGAGGTCGATGGCTCGACATCTCCCAAGAAGAGAACGTCTGTACAGGCAACAAGTCACACGATGTCTTCGAGTTTTCTCGAACCAGACATATTAAAGCATTTGTGCAGAGAGCTGGATCGTGACAAAGTGGAGGCGGAATTCTCAATCAAGGTAGATGCTTGATCTTCTATTGCCTTCGACCAATAAAAATCTTTTCTATAAATAATTTAATTGTTTTAGAGACGAATCGCCTTAGAAGAAGCGTTACGAGTAAAAGGCGATGCATATACTTTGCGGGGATCTCGTCAAACTAGTATCAGTCCATCGGCGGAAAACGCTCCTCGGATATTCTCCCGTCAAGCGGCGCGATTTGAATTGCTCGACAGTCAAAGTCTTTGTGGTATGTCGCATGATTTTAATTAATACGTATCGATATGTGATTTTCTACTAAAACAAGTAAAAATTATTAAACAAAACGTTCCCGCAAGCCATTATTTCTTGAAGCTTCTGTATTTTAGAATTTATAATACATCATACGCTATATAAAATACCTTTTCCTATTTTATCTCATCGATTGGAACTCACGACAACGTAATCGTTACAGGTTTAACGTCACTTCAGTACCTCAGTAAACACGCCTACGTCACGTCGGGAAGAAAATTGATATTCGGTCGAATATTTAATAAATTTAACGAGGAGGCGTTGCATAGCGCGCGACGCATTTCACCGAGCGATATTGAAGAAGCTCTTGGAGAAATGGTTGGGAAGGCATTGACGGATGAGCAGCGATCTTATATAAAGTCTGTGATAGGAGATGTAACTCAGCCGCTGGGATTTAGGGAGTGGTGCGGATTATGCGCCGCTGTCGAAAGGCTGCTGTGTTCTTTGCCATCGAGGGAAAGCGATCCACCAACGTGGCTCGAAAGAACAGACTTTGAAACTCTGGAACGAAGACTCAAATCAGCTAGATCGGTAGATTTCACGTTAGCATTGTTGTTGAAGGAGATTCGTGATAGATAGAATATAACGTGTTTCTTATCATATATACTCTCTTTTTCTTTATCACAGTGATCGCTAATTATAATGTTCGTATCGTGTAAATCTTGCGATGAGTTTAATACGTTATAATTATTTGATGTAAGCCTAGAAAATAAAATTTTTTCACGGTTCTACAAACGATCCCTAGGTAATATATATCTCGACGAAAAGTGCGCAGCGAATGTTAAATAGTTTCAAGCAAACACGCGTACATAAATTATGAGTATTAATTTGTATGTAAATCTCACGAATGAAAACTATTACAGGATGCTAACTGTTATTTGATCAATAAATGTGATTATCGAAATAAAATCTATCTTCCAAAAATGTGCAAATTTCGATTATTATGATATAAAAAATGGACCATGGATCAATTCATTCGTGACATTGATATGTAGTTCTTTGTCATATAACTGCTAAATCGAACATTTGTTAATTCCGCACATCGTTCGATTACGTAAAGATTATGATCTGTTCAAAATATAACGTAATAGAGATCACAAATACTTACTGGATTTTTAATGTTGATCTACACATGATGCAGGACGAAAAAAAGCTCTTCTCATCTACGTTCATCGCATATTTTATTGCCGGAGCGGACTCGCGTATATCCACTCGAGCGTACATATGTTGCATGCATTCGGTATTCGATTCACTTTTGGTTAATATACAAACAAAGTTTTCTTATTTTTTTTCTCTCATTCTCTCGCACTTAACAACACAATAAATAATGGGTCACTTTTGCTTCGTAAGGATAATATAAAACTGATCTTTCTCTCTTTCTCTCTCTCTCTCTCTCTCTCTACATTAGTAAATAAATTAAGTAAACGAGCGGTATGACGAAACGCGTAGAAAATAATAAGAATACGGGATCGTGTAGAGAGTACTAGGTCATAATAATACACTACCGGATGTGTTTCATGTATTCCCGTGTGTTATCTGTCAATCATCAATTTTTGTTCGTCGCTCGGTCGGTCCTAGTCGCTACGTCACATATTGCACATATAACTAATGTACAAATATAACGAGATGCCTACGCGCCCGCGTCAGTGACCAGAAGGAGCCGCAATTACTTGCGTATGTGTACGTATTATTTCATGTATAAGTGTACGTTTGTGTAAATGTATTGTGTGTATGTATGGGCGCGCGCGCATTATCCTCATGGCCCTGGGAGAACGTACGCACGATACGACACTACTTGGCTAAAGTATCTATAATACACAGCGCAGCGCTATCCGCCGTATAACGAAATTTTCTTTGGGACGTTCCGTTTGATCGAGGTGTGCCGAAAAGAGGGATTTAGCCGCTTTTTTTTTAACGTCGTAACGTTAAAATTCAGAGCGAGCTTCCAGAAGGAAGTGGCATTATCTATTGCCATTTCCTCGCTCTCTCCTTAAATCCTTTTTTTCTATTCATCGCTGCTTTCCCCATCATCGGTTTAGTATAAAAAAAGTTGTTGCTGCTGTCGCTGCTGCGGGGCAGTGGGACTGGAGTATGACGGTGCAACATCGCACATGACGACAAGGGGCTAGTTGCCGTTTGTCGACCGCTGCGTCGCCGGGATCACTGCGTCCCGCTCAGTCCCGTAAATCTTGCCTGCTTTTCTCGCCATATTTCCGAGCATCTCCATTGAGCATTTATGTGCCGATCTCAACGAGAGCGCCCATTCTTTCAAGCTTATCTCGTCCTATGGTGAATCAATTATTATTATTAGTGATGTTCGAAACTTAATATTCTAACTTTTCAATGATCAGATAATTCGAACGATCATTCAATAGATAGTTCAAACTTCCTAGAGAATAATCTTAAATCTCTCGGATCTTTCGAGGTTCTAGGCTAAGATCTGATTAATGTCTTTATATATTAACACCATTCGAATTATACAAATTATCCGAAATTCAAACGCGAACATTTCTACTTTAAATTGTTTGAATAGTTAGATTATGCAGTTAAAGTCATTTGTTTGAGCTCTAATTGCTGCACTTTATCACAAAGTATTATCTAGGGACAATGAAAGATTCACTTACGGCATTTGTAAGTACGATCTTTGCATCCTTTGTACGCATTACGATGCATTGTTCCCCCTTTACCAGTTGCAGATCCGCTCCCACTTCCTCGACCTAAAGATATTTTACATCGCATAATTACTCTTTTTTTTTTTAAATGTATTGCATGTCAAGTATGAGATATAATACTAATTATATTTTGAAAATCATAATTTGATTTCTTATCCCCTTCAATATTTTTCTCTGGTACATGATGTACTTACTTGATCAAGAAATACGAGCTCAGGCTTAGTTGCTGATTCCGGGTGTAACTCTAACCGATTTGGATATAGTTTTGCGTAGCGCGTCTGCCATGCACTCGCGAATGGACCTCCTAATTTTTTTATATAACCATGTAATATACAATCCGAACCTGCAAGTACAAATGGTTAATGTAAGAATCACAATTCCATTTAGATTCTAGAATATCGATGTGATACGCGATATACCTACCCTTCTCATCTGTATCAAACCGCTGTTTTTGTTTCGCCTTCTTTTTATTTTCCATCTATAGAGGACGAGACAAAGCAAAATCTTTATATTAGTAAAGACTCGATAATCATGAAGTTATTATAGGCAATTAGATAAAATATTTATCTCTTACCTTGTCCGCTTCGTTATTGATTGTCTCGAACACAGTCTCGGCCACTTCAGCCTGCCATCTTTCGGAGATGACTGTAGAAAAGTTTTTGTACAGTTCTTGATCCGCTTCTGTCAGCTTGATTCCTTTTGTGTCTTCCTCATCGAAAGAGCCGATGTCGAAGGCATCCGCGGCGTTGACCTCGCCGCGTGGCGGTATTAACGGCGGAGTGTATTTTAACAGATACACCTGTTGCCAATCGATACCATTAAAAAACGGGTGCGCCTTTATCTCGTTCGCGCCGTTACCACGGCAGCCGAGTCTTTTGCTGACCTCCCGTTGTAGTAAACCTTCTAACAGCGACTGCATCTCCGGCGACAACGTCTCCGGTATTCCAAGGCTGGAGACGTTTTGCTTGATTAAAAAAATTAGATTAAATCTTCATGTGTGTAAGTTCCTCGAGAAATCTCTAGGAAATTGTCTTGAATCTTCTGATCGCTTACTACATTCACATTGGATTGTGATGTCAAAAGCCGTATAACTTTTTTACGCTAAATTATATATCAAAATAAATCAAATATAAATTAATTCCAACACCTAATATATATATATATATATATCTTTCCATTAATAAAGAATAATTAAAATGCAATTTATACCTTACTTTTCCAAAGAAAAAAAACGAAGTTAACTGATTTATAGTTGTCTATTAATTCACCAGAAAAAGTCTGGAATATTTTACAGATCTATTCTATTCAACACAAATAGCAGTAGTACATATTAAAAAATGTAATTTAGCTCGACAAAAAGATTTATATAAATTTTCACTTTTGAAATATCATCATCATCATCATCCAATATATATATAATGCAGTGGACGATCAGAAATGTTAAAAGCAACATACCATATTCAGCGTCATACGGTCTATCTCGTGTTTGTCCTTGGTGTTTAGGTGCCTGAACGGACTACGTCCCATCAAGAGTTTGAATATTACGCAACCGAAGGAAAACCAATCTGCACTCGAATCGTATGGGGTGTTCTTCGCAATCACCTCCGGCGCCATGTATCCATGCGTGCCGCTGTTACAGCATGAATGAATAGTATAGTTATATATTCAGAGCATTGCATTACACGTGGAAAAATTCGATCGAATTTCAGCTATATATACATACACGCTTGAGTGCGGCCTTTTCTTTAAGAAATCGACTGCCAATCCCAGATCCGATATCCTAATGTGACCATGCTCGTCCAGTAATATATTCGCGGGCTTCAGATCACGGTAAACGATGTACCTGCTATGCATGTGTTCCAGGCCGAGGAGCATTTCCGCAGCGTAGAATTTCACTTCCGGCTCGGTAAAGATTCCGCGTTGGTTTAGATGATAATGCAGATCGCCACCGTTCATCAAATCCAATATGAAGCACAGCTTGTCAACGGTGTGAAATGCATACGTCATGCACACTATGAATGGGCAGTCCATCTGCGATGACAATACTTTTTTATGTCACATCTGACTAGCGTCATCGTGATTTAAATTTGAAGGCATTGTTTTTGACAAAAGAGGAAAAAAAAAACAAGTCTCTTACTCCTGTGCTGACTATCGAAAGCATCGTCCTCTCGTTGAGAGCCAGAGTTTCACCTTGCTTCATTTTAATACGTTTTTTATCTAGACATTTCATGGCATACATCTTGCCAGTGTCCGCTTTCCGGCAACCATACACCTCGCCGAAGCCGCCTCTGCCTATTATTCGATGCACGCTGAAGTCGTTCATCGTCAGCTGCAATTTCCGTTATAAAGCGCGTGATAATTTAATCTTGAAAATTCCATTCTTGAAAAAGGGAGAACAAAATGAAATAAATATTGATTTATCTGTACCTGGATATTCAATTCTAAGTTTTTCCATTGGCAGAAACGGGTGTACTTATCGCTAGAAACATATACAATTTTTCTTTTAATCACAAATTATGTCATACAAGTTTATTCGTAAAAAAACTGTCAGAATATCATTTGTACCTTTCCAAAAATTTCTGAAACGGTTCCCCTCGCAAATGATTAAATATTTCCTCAATGTACGGCTACAAAAATAGAAGAAATTTCATTAGTCACGAATAATATCGATTAGGTACATGCAATTGCGTAGATAAAGTCACAAGACAATGACCTACCTCAAATAAGTCAACTGGGACTTCATTTTTCATAAGATATTTGTGCACGTGAGCTACCGCTTCTTGCGAATATTCCTGCAAAAAAGATAGACGCGTCGCCATTCATTAAAAAATAATATATATACATATAAAGGAGAAATGGAAAGAAAAAAGTCTTCTCCAGTTATTATTACGAAATATATATATATATACTTACATGAGAATGCGACAGTAATTCTTTCATAATGTAATTGTCGTAGATTTCACGGGCAAGTTTTCTCCTTTCTTCCGGACATTCGAGCTTCTCGTATGCCTTGATCTACAATGCACAAATAAATATTCCTTTATGCAATCGGGCCAGCAGTGTGTGATATATATGCGACGCTACTGGAATTTAACTATATATATGTAGTGTATGCGGGCTAAAAAACACGAACCTCTTCGTAAAACCTAAGTTGCGGAATCGGTTCCTCCGCTACAGTCTCGCAGAAGTCTTTGAATAAAAGGTAACCTGGAAGTACATGTGGAGTTTGCTTGACATCGGCGAACTTTCAGTAAATTATCACAGCTCTCGCTACATTTAATGCCGCGTTTCACTACTTTTGCGGAAAAAAAAAATAATAATATAACTGGTGTGACAGAGAAACGAATCATCCGTGTAAATTGGCGCGGTCCCGCCAAAGGGATCAGGTTTTTCCAGGTCATCTCAAGCCGGTGATCAAATGGCACATTTCGTTTTGTGACAGGGAATCGAATGTATATTATTCGATCATATTATTGATGATTAATTTGGAAGATAATAATTTAATTGGTGCTTGAAATTGAATAACGCTTTACGAACAATAGAATACGTAATTAGCAATTCATAAACGAGACTGTCGATTACATTGGAGGATTGGCTTCGGTGAAATTTTTTTGCATGGATGAATATTTACGTTGTCGCGTTATGTTGAAAATCTCCGAAATTCACGACGCGAAACAAGTTGCAAGAATTAATCGACAAACCGCGACTGTGTTTATCTACATAAATAATACACGCACGTATTTCGTATGATTGTGTTGAATGAAGAGAACGAGAGAGAGAGAGAGAGAGAGAGAGAGAGAGAGAGAGAGAGAAAGAGAGAGAATGAAAGAGAGGGAGAGGTAATGCCGATATCTGAAGTCTATATATAATTGGATTGTACTACAGAACAGAGAGATAAAAATGCAAACGTTGAGAGAAGGTTCTCCTCGCTGCGCAATTAGATTGGATGAGTTGGGCGAATTTATTGGGCAATTTTACGAACTAAATCTAAGCCTCTCCCTTTGTCTTTGATCTCGTCAAAGAACGGAGGGACGAGAGAGTGGTGAACGAAGGGCGGACTATCGAAGCGATAGCTTACTCACCTAACATTTGATTAAATATTTTGTCGAAGTTTACTTCATTATTCTTCTCCAGATATCTGTGCATGACGCTCCGAACACTGAAACAGAAAGGATCGATTTTTCTCATCAGCAATGGTTTATCGTGCGATGACGTCCTTTCCGAGAGACCGATAAAAGCGCAGAAGAGAAAATACAAGCGAATATGTCGCGTAAAGATATTTCCATTTGAAAACCCGAGGGGACCCGGAGATCCCTGAAATTTCCGGAGAGATTCCGAGCCGGGAGTCGGCAAACCCGATCAGTTATTCCATCAAGCGTCGTCGTCGTCGACGTAAATCTATCGAAAATGTACTCGGCGCATTTCGCGGGGAATATATTAACGTGCTCGGTGACTCGAAATCCCGATTCCCGTCACCGTCGCTGCGCCTACATCACGAGATTGATCAATATGGAAAACGGCGGAATTACTGCCGTTATAACTCGTCCTGTCATCGATACAGTTCGATCCGGCACGAGCATGAAGAGCGCGGAGGGTCGCGCTCGAATGACAAAGCTACCTCCACAGATACCGAGAAGATAATGGCCAATTTGACAAAATACAACGCGCACCTATTTCCTCTTCAATTATCCAAATGATCTGCGGTGCACATCATTGTCACGCAAGAGCACGTGGGCGTTTAAAGTACAAGAGAGTTCATTCCGCACACCACAGAGCCAATAAATAATTAAAATCGCGCGTGCTTTCTTATTATCTCGGATACTTTTTTTGAAATGTTATAACTGAAACCGTTATAAATATTACATTAATCAAGGAGATACCATAATGTATGACGTGTAAGATTTATATACTGCAGTAACTTTTCAATGTGAGCGATTGATAATCGGTGCTTTCCAGCAATAGAGACACAGAGATAACACAGTGTAATACAGTGAATTATTATATCCTTGTCTAATGATAAACAAAAATGATATGTATGATTATTATCACACTGTGTTTGTTGGAAAGCATCCAATGAGATGAAGATTCTTGTCCTCCGGGCAGCGTCTTTTAGAAACCGATTCAGCAAAAATCGTACGTTACGAGTTCGACAATCTTTACCAATCGTTCGATTGACGAGGATTCAAAACATTAATTTAATTCTAAAGTTTTAATCCGGCTGTCATAAGCATGAGTGCTTATAAATGATTCTGATGAAAAAAAAGAACGCTTGCAGTATCCCGATTCTGCTTTTAACAAATAGTTCGTTATGTTATCGTCGCGTAGGTTTCTTATCGTGTATAATATCTACAATAATATAATGATTTCAAAACTATCATTAAGAGTTACAGAATCGGAATACAGATTCAATCACAGTATATCGAGTCACAAATTGAGCATCATAAACTGCCCATCATCATGCAGCATTACGGTTAATTGTTTCAATTCGATGGGATGCATCCACGCACTGAGAAAAATTTGTATTTGTAATTACATGTTACTATCATTATGATTATTACTGTTATAATATAATGTAAGTAATAATAATTATGTATAGTTATGTCAAATACATTTAGTTAGCAACTGAAAATGACTATAATTATAATCATTATTATTACAAAAATGATTGCAATTTCATAAATTGTAGTAATTATCATTTTTATGATAATTTCGGTATTACTATAAATAGTTATTGTTAGATGCTAATTTAAAGTAATAATAATCACAGTTGTAATATGTAATTATAATTACAAATATCAAAAATTTTTCTCTCAGTGTAACGCAACTCAGTTACTTAGTAGCAGCTATTTCAGTCAAACTAATTTGAGAATGACCAAATGATTGAAAAAGTAGGTTAGGCTAGAAAGAGCGAACAAACGTACTTGCGATAACAAAAACGTAATCGATGACTCTTGAAGAGATAACATCGAAGGGTGCGTTCATGAAGAAACACATTTTTCGAGATGTGCGTCTTATACGACGATATTTCTTGCGACGGATTATTTTTCATGCACGATCTACATTAGGAAATATAAAGTAAATTGCGATTATTTCAGGTTATTTTATTTTACGAAAAAGTGTAGGAAAATTAAATATTTCATTTTTATTTTTAACAACATTAGGCATTATTAGATTTAACGTTATTATATGTTATTGGATATAATATTTTCTTCTTTTATACAAAATAAATAATATTTTCGGTTATCGAAGGAAATCTTATAATAATTTTTGAATATTTTATACATTTCGTCTTTGTGTGTATGAATTACGCATCAATTATTAATCGGTTTTGAAAAATAGATGTTACATCAAAAAAGGGAACGTAATATCTCATTTTCAAATTAAGAATTAATTTAATATTATTGATTACACTAAGCAAGCATTTTATAAATCCATAAGAAACATTTGTCTAATTTATTTCCTCCTAACAATGTCTGACGATCGAATAACTACCGAAATTACTTTGCCATCAGAAATAATAGAAATGCCTTACGTAGATTCACACACTACAAGAATTGGGAATTTTTACGGTCGGTTTTATTATCAATAATTAATCGCATTTGTACCGTCGTTATTCATTCGATCTTCTGTGGATATCGATTTTTCGCTTCTCCATTCGGCTTTACTTTTCCCTACGCCTTTCTAACTTGGCGAACAGATAATTGAGTTCGCGACGTTCCACCTACCATGAATTTCTTATTTACGCAATAGAGAGAGGAGGCTGGTCACCATAGAGATCCCAAGAGAACTGATTTTCAGAGAACTGAGAGCGCTAAATTATATACAATATATACACTCAAAGTCGTCAAACTAATCAACCAGCGGCATGGATTTTTAATTCCATGATCGCACAATACTAAAAAAAAAAAAAGACAGAGTTTTGAAAGTTGTGAGGAGTTATTATGTAGAGCAGCTACTTATAAAACAAATATTAAAATTTATTCTCGAACGCGCTTCTCGTCACAGCACGTCAACTTTTATTTCGTGCTGACGTAAAAGCGTTTTATCATTTTTATTATCACTTGTTCGATTCTGTAATCTCTATAATCGCGCGATTATTCACCGCTAAATTAATATTGCGATTGATTGTGTTATTACGGAAATAACCGAAGTAGCAACTCGAGAAACTTTGGAACATTTACAGATGAGACGTGTAATCATCCGCTTTAGTTATACCATAATGATCAATTGGAGAACGGATGAAGTTTTAATTTCTCCAATCTTTTGTTCGCGGTAAAAACGAAGTATATTGGCCAACGAACTTCCGTCGAAGGGCGATAGTTTTTTTCTTCGTGAGATGCTGCCATAAATCTGGCGGGATTTAATATCGACGCTGCCAATTTCGCGTCCCAATATACAGTTCATTATTGGAAGTACGACGAATCTGACAAAAGAAGTGTTGTGAGGGAGACGAATGAAGAAGCTTGCACAAGGACAAGACTTCAAAGAATCTTATCAAGAATCTTATCAACTTCAAAAAAAAAACCACCCACGTGTGTTTCTTTTTGAATGTGTTATATTTAAGATCATTTTATTCGATTTTATATGCGAAGGAATAAAGATGTTTCAAGTGTCTTGAGAGAGTGTTGAAGTTTCATTTCCTGTAACTAATTGGAGCTATAAAAAGAAAAGAGGAATGTGAATAAACATGAAACATCTGGGTCCTTGGCATTTTAAAAGTGTCTCCATTATACTGCTCTTATAAAGGTAGAATGGCGTAAACACGACAATTAAGTGACGGAGCTCAGGGATAAAAGGCGCAGTTAGACGTAAAATTTGATTAGAGTTAATTTCTGATAGAAGAGAAACGAAGGGGAGATTAATCCACGGTAGATTCGGAGCACCGAATATCAAGCGGGGATGAATGAGCTTTGCAACCGACCAAAATAAATCCGTGTTTTCAGCGATTTGTTGGAGTGCCACCAGACATCGCGTACATCCAGAAACGGGCAAATTTTTACTCGTTTGATCTGTGCTCGATCGACGCGATGAAATCCAAATCGAGCACAATGTTACAGGATTATGAAAAAAGACACAAGAGCGGCAGTTACGTAAATCTGTCCGAACGCGAAATCTAAACTAATTCAAATTGCTCGAAGCAATTGCAAGAAAAAAATATACATGTAAAAATAGAAACAATAGAAATTTTCTTATTGTTAACTAAGTGGCACTCCTGCCAAAATGTCAAAATGTTTAAAAAAAGTTTAAAATAATTGTTCGAGTTTAGGTTGACTCGTCTTTTATGTCTTTTCGAATTTTAACTCAAATTCACGTCAAGTAAAACACTTAGCATAAAGTTCCGTACAAAACTTAAAACTTGAGAGCTTTGATCTGTTCATTGTATTCATGTATTTTACAGAAATCAACTAAAAGTTTTAGCTTTAAACTATTCAATAGAAAACTAGATAGAATTGAGTACAATCCTCTACGAAATATGGAATCTGAGAAAGTATCTCAAAACAAGTCTTATGTGAAATTCTTCCACTGAAAATCGCAATAACCACGACGTCTTATAAATGTCAAATCAAACTCGACGGATTCATAGAATTCATCTATCGACTTCATCATTTTAGTCGAGCGTTTCTTGGCAATCGCACGATTATAAAGGCAGGGCACATATTATGGAATTGTTTCCAGTGGATTTCAATCGGAATTATTCCATTTTTCCTAGAAAACGTAATAGAAACTTATATTTACAAAATTGGTTGAATTAATCTGAAAAACGTTAGCCTAAAAATATAATAATCAGATTGTTTAATAAAATATGAACGACTCATACTTTTGATTAAAATAATCTGACAAATTTTGTTACATATATTTCGATTACGATAATCAGACATTTGATTGCATGAATTTAAATAGAAATAACAAAACTTTCTCACGCAGTTGAAATCTTAGATTAATTAATAATTAGATTAAATAATAATCAGAAATTCTGTTTAATTCTACCATATTCCTTTAAGTATCATGTTAATCTAACTATGTCCTTCCCTTAATCATAACTAGATATATAGATATAGTCATAAACTAGATACTTGGATATTATTATTACATATATATGCACTAACTATTTATTCTAACTGATATTGTATCTAAATGTTCTATTTGTGTACCAGAAGA